ACATATATAAATTCAAATAATATTTGTAAGCCATAGAATTCTGTACTCTCGCCAAATTGTTTTTTCAGATATTTGGGAAAAAAGAAATATGGATGATTCAAAAAGATATGGCTCAGTATTATAAAATTAATTTAGCCTTGTATTACTCATAATGATTATACAAAATTAAACATTTTATAGAACTCTGCTGCTCTTCTTAGAAAGCCAGTTGTCTTCAGCTTTATCTAAGTGACTTTGCTCATGAAAAAGTCCCTATAGAAATTAATTGTTTAGTAGGTAATATAATGTGTTTGATTAAATGGTTAATAAAGGGTTAAAGGTTACTCGCAATGTGAATAGTTACTTGGCTTAGTAAATTAGGGGAAGTTGTGTTCACTTTAAATACTCAATTTTATGAAACAAAAAAAAAACCTTTTACTTGCACATGATGGTGAGATTGAGTGATTTACTAAATCAACCTCAGAGAGTATTTATTTTGCTTTGCATGTATTTTCTGAATTATTTAATATCTTGACTTAAGTGGCAAATTATTATTTTATTTCTTGAAACATTGCAGTGTGGATTTAAAAGTATGCCAAAGGTGAATGAATGTAAAAATTTGGAGCTAGGTAGCCCAATCTAGAAGACAAAATGTGCTTTTAAGGACATGTGACTCCAATGGCAAAAGTTTGGTGTTTTTGGGAACATTGGGAACACTTTTTGGGAACATTGACTACCTGGATGTAAGTTCCCAGATTGTGACAAAGTTGACACTTGCAGTCCTAGGATAGTGTGACCCACCCGTACAATCCCATGGTTAAATACTACTACTATATTAGTATGGTTAAAGGGGAAGCATTGCACATTTTCAGTGAGCAAATATTTTAAATTATTAGTTCAGTGTTTACCCTAAAATAGTTTGGGAGCGCTCTGTGGCTTAGTAGAATCTCTGCCCCTGCTTAAAGTGGACCTGTACCCATATTTTTAAAATAACAACAAACACACTTTTAGAAATCTTTAGTAATGACAATCTACAAACACATACACTATATTGCCAAAAGTATTGGGACACAAATCATTGGATTTGGGTGTTCCAATCACCTCCATGGCCACAGGTGTATAAAATCAAGAACCTAGGCATGCAGACTGCTTCTACAAACATTTGTGAAAGAATGGGTCACTCTCAGGAGCTCAGTGAATTCAAGCGTGGTACCGTGATAGGTTGCCACCTGTGCAAGTCCATCCTTGAAATTTCCTTGCTACTAAATATTCCACGGTCAACTGTTAGTGGTATTATAACAAAGTGGAAGCAACTGGGAACAACATCAACTCAGCCATGAAGTGGTAGGCCACATAAAATGACAGAGCAGGGTCAACCCGATAAAACACCTTTGGGATGAATTATAGCGGAGACTGCGAGCCAGGCCTTCTCGTCCAAAATCAGTACCTGACCTCTCAAATGCGCTTCTGGAAGAATGGTCAAACATTCCCATAGACACACTCCTAAACCTTGTGGACAGCCTTCCCAGAAGAGTTGAAGCTGTTATAGCAGCAAAGGGTGGGTCAACTCAATATTGAACCCTATGGGCTAAGACTGGGATGACATTAAAGTTCATGTGTGTGTAAAGTCAGGCGTCCCAATACTTTTGGGAATATATTGTACTTCTAGATAATTGCAGGCTTTGTATTCTTTGCATACCTTATTTCTCTTTTCTTCCCCAGTCTTCTGACAGTGGCCATGTTTACTGAGGACAGATTACTAGTTCTCCATTTACCTCCTTGATTTTGGGCACATGTGACTAGACATGTGACTAGGACATGTGACCATGCACATGGAACAGGATGGGCCATCCCCATACTGTTCCCAGAAAGTTGGGAGCATGAAATTGTCCAAAATGTCTTGGCATGCTGATGCCTTAAGAGTTCGCTTCACGGAAACTATAGGGCCAAGCCCAACCCATGACCGAGTTTTTAGAGGAGGTGACACCAAAATGACTGTCAGTGGCGCCACTGTGTAGAGACACTAAATACGGGTCCTAATGGGATGATCTATAGTCTGGATTATACTTTTGTCTCTGTCAATAACACTGGCTTTGATATGTGCCTGCTGATGTGTAATTAAACTTTTGGAAGGAGCACCATATGTCATATTGGATGATTTATATGTTAATGTTTTGCCTCTGACGTTTATTAATGCAGTAATTTCTGTGAACTATTTAGAAATACTTTTTTCAAACAAATGGAAATGCATGCGATGGGTCCATGTTGTTTTAGAGTTTTAAACATTTTTTGTAGTCCTAATAAAAGTTTAAGTAGAGTACGGTTATATAGTGGTAGGTATTATTTGATAAAGATATCTCTAGGTTGGGCACGTAGTCTCTAGAAATATTTAACAAAAGCAGTGTGGTCCTGTCATTTAGGGCTTTATATCAAACACGATATAACTGACAGACTATACCCAAATACCTTTTTATGACACTTAATTTCATCACTGCAATGATGTTTGTTGTGGATTTGCACTGAATTATGGCCACTAGATGAAGCCAAAGAGCATAGAATTGATATGCTTCTTGGCTCCATTTAGTGCCCATAATGCAGTGTAAATCTACAACAGACATTCGCAGAGCAAACACCCCTGTATACATTTTACAAATACACCCCTTAGTATTTCAGGATAAAAGGTACAGTAACCTTGCTTACACCTTGCAAGGCCCCACCTTGCAACTTACAGATCTTAGAGGATCTGCTACTGACAGCTTGGTGCCAGATACCACTGCATACTTTCAAAAGGTCTAAGGAGTCCATGCCTTCACGGGTCAGGCCTGTTTTGGCAGCAAAAAGGGAACCTACCCAATACTAGGTGGGTGGTCATAATGTTATGGATGTAACAGTTGAACATTCATCAGTTTACACATTACTGCCAACATATCTGTCATAAAGGCAATCCAAAATCTATGATTAAGATCCTCTTGGGGACCCCTCCTGTGGTCGACCATGTGAAGCAGTGGCGGAACTACCGCCGGTGCAGGCGGTGCGGACGCACCAGGGCCTTGGGACTTCTTTGTCCTAGCGGGGAGGAGAGAAAGTGACAGCCGGCCTAGCGCTGCGGGAGGAGAGCGCTGTGTTTGTGTTTTTTTTTTTGGGGGGGGGGCAAAAAAAAAATCTTGCACCAGGGCCCTTTGTTCCTTAGCTCCGCCACTGATGTGAAGAGATTCATTTTCTGAAGTTCTAGAGGAAGCATTTCTTAAAGGGACCTCCCCAGGCCTGGAGCTAGCCTCGCCCATAGCCAACTGGTGCTCTCCCAGAGATACATTTTGGGGTTGTTTTTTTTAAAAATAAAACACTTGTCAAAAACATGTCTTTTGTTTTTTTCCAAATAAAGGATTTTTTCAAACGTCTGGAGTTCTTATTTACAATTTCATCTAACCGTTTAGTGAATGGGTAGGGGTACGCCCCAGGGCTTGTGGGGAAGAGGCCCTTGTCCCCATCAGCTCGGGGACAAGGTGCTTTTCCAGGGTTGCCCCTCCCAGTGCCGGGGGCCTGTGGCCCGGTATCAATGTGACAGTCTCATTGTCACAGGTCGGCTAGAACTATGAGGTGAGTGAAAAGTACTTACCTCATAGTTCTCCTTTAAGGGTCTGGTAGGACACTTTTTACACTTTTTATTTACCAGTAATTTGCATACAAGCCCTCTTAAAGAGGCAATTGTTTTTGAAAGTTCTACCCCCATAGAATTGCATTGAGTTCGAGTTTGAACTTTTTGGGTGTTCTAAAGTTTGAATTCGAACCAAACTCGGACCTGTTCGGCTCATGACTACTGGTAATACATGTGGCTTTCTATATTCTACAAAACACTGCTCTGTTTTTATTAGACTTGCTATAATATGTAACATAGACAGTATTACATAAAAAAAAAAAAGATATAAGCAACTTACAGTATGCCCTCTTGCATGTTGCTTAGAAGATTCAGGTCGTAGAGGAGGGTCTGGTGGATTTTTAAAAGAATTTCCTGGGATTGTCCGGTCTGAAATATCATAAATGTATACATTAGGAAAAAGGCAAAATTATATTTAGCTTGTTAGGTTTATATACAAGTCTCCTTAAAGTACCAAAGCATAACACACTTGATTGATTTCTGTATGCTCTTTATGCATACAAACACCTGTTAAAAATAATTTTAAAGTACCTACTAAGACTTCAGTTAACCACCTAAAATAAGAAAAATCAGATGAATACTTAAAGTGTACGTCTTGACGTATGCAAAATATATTTAAAAA